ACAGACAGACCGACAAACAGAGAGACAGAGAGATACAGACAGACAGAGAGAGACAGACAGACATACACAGAGAGAGAGACAGACACAGAGAGACAGACAGAGAGAGAAACAGACAGACAGAGAGGAAGAAAGACAGACAGACAGAGACAGAGAGAGTGAGACAGGAAGAAACAGAGACAGACAGACAGACAGACAGACAGAGAGAGAGAGTGAGACAGGAAGAGAGAGACAGACAGACACACAGAGAGACAGACAGAGAGAGTCAGACAGCATAAAGAAGCATACAAAACAATAACCAACTCAGGGTGATTTTTAATGGGTAGAACAACATTTTCACTACTAGACATGATTCTTATCCAGTAAATGTGTAATGTAAATAATTGTAAATAATTGTTTGAGATTAGCAGCACAGTTCACATTTCTCTTTATCAAATTAACTTTTCTTACCTCTAACAATAACAACTGATTCAACCTTCCTGTTCCCGTTGAAAACAGTAGTTAGCTTCCTGTTCTGATAAATACTCAAACACACAGGACATAAAAAACAGTAAATCTGTATTTGAAAGGATGTTTTTTCTTGTACAGTGCATTTGGAGTGTATTCACTTCACTTTGTTACAGCTTTATTCCAAAATAAAATAAATAATTTTTACCCTCTAAATTTAACACACAACACCCCATAATGAGTCTTCGGAATCACTCTGTTTGGCCTATTACCTAGGACCAAGCTGCCTTGGGAGGCCGTACCAGGCTCCTAGAATCATTCTTGCACACAAGCTCCTCCACCACGATAAGGTAGAGATTCAAGGAGTAGTTCTGTCCTGGCCATAGAACACTGGGCCAGCTCTTTACTTTCACTAGGGTTCTCGAGGGATCATGGGAGTTTGCCCATCCAGTCTACGTGTGTTTGGTGGACTTGGAGAAGGCATTCAACAGTGATTCTTGGGGCACACTGTGGGGGATGCTCATGAGTATTGTACTGGGGGCCCATTGCTTTGGGCTGTTCAGTCCCTATACAAGCCGTGTGAGATTTTGGTTCGCATTGCCGGTAGTAAGTCGGACCCCTTCAGGGTGGGAGTTGGACTGTCAGGGCTGCTCGTTGTCACTGATTCTGTTCATAACTTTTATGGACAGAATTTATCGGTGCAGCCAGGGGGCAGAAGTAGTCCGGTTTGGTGGCCTCAGGATTCTATCTCTGCTCATACAGATGATGTGGTCCTGTTGGCATCATCGTGCCATCATCTCAGCTCTCACTTGATCAGTTTGCAGCAGAGTGTGAAGGGACTGGAATGAGAATCAGCACCTCCAAATCCAAGGCCATGATCCTCATTCGAAAAAGAGTGGATTGTTTTCTTCGGGTTGAGGGTGAGGTTCTGCCTG